GTCACAATTTCCATCCCCGGGCCCACAGCAAAAACACCCTTAGCACGCAGGGGAGATAGGAATGTCCATTAAGGCCCGTGCATGGACAAGGACCTATAATGACTAACCTACAGAAAATAAGAGTGTAGACAAATGCTTCAATGTGACAATTGACCATGAATTACTCTGGGAATAGTTCTGGTGTCCTGCTTTGCCTGGTGATCCATTGATAATGCACCTCCAGCAAGTATCTATCCTGCAGTAGGCCAAAATGTAAAGTCTCTGGGCAGTTCCTAATCGTCACAGTTTTGTAATTAACCATCACAGTGTTTGAAACAAACTCTCAGGATCAGTAGTGGCTGGTAAAGTTTTAAGGTGGTGGGGTGCCAAACTCCTCCAGAAGAATTTTACTCCTACCTATACAGTACAGAGATACTTATTCAATACAGACTGATATCAGAGATAACTATACAATACACAGAGCTGAGTACAATACAGAGATAACCATACCACAAACAAAGATACAATACACAGAGCCGGGCACAACACAAAGATACCTATACAATACACAGAGCCGGGCACAATACAGAGATACCTATACAATACACAGAGCCGGGTACAATACAGAGATACCTATACAACACACAGAGCCGGGTACAATACAGAGATACCTATACAACACACAGAGCCGGGTACAATACAGAGATACCTATACAATACACAGAGCTGGGTACAACACAAAGATACCTATACAATACACAGAGCTGGATACAATACAGAGATACCTATACAATACACAGAGCTGGGTATAATACAGAGATACCTATACAATACACAGAGCTGGGCACAACACAGAGAACCTATACAATACACAGAGCTGGGCACAATACAGAGATACCCATACAATACACAGAGCTGGGCACAATACAGAGATACCCATACAATACACAGAGCTGGGCACAATACAGAGATACCTATACAATACACAGAGCTGGGCACAATACAGAGATACCTATACAATACACAGAGCTGGGCACAATACAGAGATACCTATACAATACACGGAGCTGGATACAATACAGAGATACCTATACAATACACAGAGCTGGACACAATACAGAGATACCTATACAATACACAGAGCTGGGCACAATACAGAGATACCTATACAATACACAGAGCTGGGCACAACACAGAGAACCTATACAATACACAGAGCTGGGCACAATACAGAGATACCTATACAATACACAGAGCTGGGCACAATACAGATACCTATACAATACACAGAGCTGGGTACAATACAGAGATACCTATACAATACACAGAGCTGGCCACAATACAAAGATACCTATACAATACACAGAGCCGGGCACAATACAGAGATACCTATACAATACACAGAGCTGGGCACAATACAGAGATACCTATACAATACACAGAGCTGGGGCAATACAGAGATACCTATACAATACACAGAGCTGGGCACAATACAGATATACTATACAATACACAGAGATGGGCACAATACAGAGATACCTAAACAATACACAGAGCTGGGCACAATACAGAGATACTATACAATACACAGAGCTGGGCACAACACAAATAAACCTATACAATACATAGAGCTGGGTACACCACAAAGATACCTATACAATACACAGAGCTGGGCACAACACAAATAAACCTATACAATACATAGAGCTGGGTACACCACAAAGATACCTATACAATACACAGAGCTGGGCACAATACAGAGATACCTATACAATACACAGAGCTGTAGTGTAGATACACATATAGACGGTAGAGTGATGTAAAATACAGATAAATAACACACAGTGCTGGACACAATAAGGAGTTACTGGTGATTATCCCACACAGCCAGGATCACGGTGATGGATTACTCAGATCTGCAATACAGAGATACCGACACAACAATGTCTCTGTATAATGCTCCAGCTATCTCTCGCTATGCATAGTTTCTTAGCCCTTCCTTTCTTATCTCCAGTAGTGCTCCTGATATGATTACTTACATTTTCTATTAAATATTGCATCTGTTATGATGCTACACCATTAGCTCCACCTTTTGTTGCTGTGACATTCAGTCTCCCTGCACACTTCCTGTAAAGAGAGATGTGATGTTTACACCTAATTTATTGCACAGTCTGTGTAATTTAACATTTCTTATCGCCTGCTCCGTTAATAGCCCGCAGCACCCTCCTGCATGGGACTAAAGATCAACTAATAAAGCAGGAGATAGAAACTTCTAAAGAGAACACACTGTGCTGATTGACACAGCCTACATAAAAATTGGTTTCATTTTCAGTTGCAGCCAGGGGAAGTGTAACTAGTGCTTAACAAAACAGAAACAAAAGTGATTTAACTCATAAACGGCAGAGAATTGAGCAGTGAGACTGCATGGACATGATCAATACACCAAAACTGCTTCATTAAGCTAAAGTTGTTTTGGTGCTTAAATAATACCTTTAACTTACATAACTGGCATTTTGTTTTTTTACATAGTGCATTTCAGAAATATCAAATAAAAAAATAATGTAAATGATTTATTTTTCATTTATTTGTTCATCCCTTACAGAATTATTCTGTGTGTGGGCATTGGAGGGCGGAGAGAAAAAAAGGTTTTAGTGTCTATATATTGATATAATACGTTACATTTATAAATGTTTAGTGTAGGCATTTTATATAACCATAAATTACAGGATAGCATTGATAATTTAACTGTATAGAAACCGAAAACAAAAGAAGACCACTGCTTCTTAATGTAGTGGATTTTGGTGTAAAGGCCCCGTCCACGAGGTCTCGCTAATGTGAAAATTGCAGTTTTTGAGAGACTGCTTTAATACTTGTAATTGAGAAGCAATTGATTTAGTTGGAAACATCTGATTGGCCGAGCGTGGCGATTTCTGCACAGGCCCAGGTGATCCTCATAGTTCTTAATAAGAATCATTGGATTGGAGCAGAGATAATCTGTCAGAATGATTTCTGCAAAAGAGAAGGGCTCTCTGCCCTGTGGAGACTGTCTGCCGCTCTTTTAATGTTACATTGGCAAGGTACCATCATCGAAACTAAAGGAACAGAATCATTAAAAATAAATGTTATAGTTTCCTTTAAATCGATAAGGATTCTAATACATTACCAAAAACAACACTCACGTAAGAGAAAATTTAACTAGCTTTGTAATTCCAAGCCATGAGCAGACACAAGACTGTTTTTATTCACCACAGCCTCTTTATTAAAGGGATTGTCCTCCAAGTGTGCATAAAAAAAAAAAAAAAAAGGAATATTTTCATTTACATAAAGAAATAAAATAAGAAAATAAGGCAGAAATGGGCATATTCATCAAAATGGCCCTCCTTACCTTGCATTACATAAAGACAACCTTATAAAATACACAGTATAATTTATCCTTCTGGATTTACCGAATTTATTGCAGTTTTAAGACATTAGAACACAGTTTCCCTTTTCCCAGAGCAAAGTTTCTGTACGAAGGCCAGTCTCTAGTTGTGCAATGGACACTGAATTCTTGACGTTTGGTTCTTTGTGAGAGTCCAGTCATATGCAAAGACCTCTTCTGGTAATGATTAGCCTGATCGCTAAACCTTTGGCTAATTTGGGTTTCAATCTCCACATTGATCTTCTTAAACTACAGTGCTCTGGTGTTGGTGATTACTCTGCAAGGAAACGTAGGCTGGCACAAATATAGCAGAAGTGGGAAAGTCTGAATGGTTGCGCAGCCAAATGTGTCCCTTCAGCATGTAGAAGATACGGTTTACAGCAGGCCTAGCCCAGAATCATAAAAAATTCAAAGTCCAATATTTTGTAGAATGAATGACTGGATGAAATAATGTACACGTGGAATTTACATCTCACTTAGAACTTGGTATTCCCAAGAGAATTGCACATTTTAACCCATAATAATTGAGACATATAGCTGATCTGACCTTTTCTTTCAGTTTGTCCATTATGGTCTGAAATTTGTAATTCCCAGGCAATACCCACAAGCAATGTGGTGCAAAAGGTAGATCCTCAGATGGTTTAAAACTACAACTTCTATGATGCTTTGCCATTCTAAAGTTATGCAAGGTATCATGGGAGTTGCAATCTTACAACAACTGTGGATCTACCTATTGGGCATCCCTGTTTCAGTGAATACATCAATGTACGAAACGGTGTGTGCACACAGTGTAGCGACAGGTAGCTCATCAGTGGGGAATTAAGTGGAAGGGGCTCCCATTATTCCAGAAATATTCCAGCTTATTTCCTGGGGGTAACAAACGTGCGAGCAACACATGGTTTACATTTTGAACCCTCAGAAGAGTTAAATAGTAGGATCCATCAAAAAAACTGAACAATTTATTTTTTCCATAATTAAACAAAAAACTAAAAGACATTTAAATATAAAAAGCCTCAAGTATAGTATAATAGAATATGCAGCTAGCTAACATCTTGCAGAACAAATAAATGAAACCCGTAAGGTTAATAAAATATTATTTCACAGCATACTGCATGGTTGTTTTGTTATTTGGAGAACGGATGAGATTTCTGGTCCAGGGCCAATGTCAGAATGTGTCTGCATTCTAAACATGTATAGATGGGGCCAGAAATAAACAAAGATTCTGTTACTTCCGACAAGACGCCCAAGGAGCTCTGCCAAAAAATTCCCTGGAGGGTTCGTTGGACAGGAGACGTACAAACAGCTGATCAGCGCATCATTTCACTAAACCCTGAGAGTTCCATGATGAATTGAAACAACGAACTAGTGAAAATGTGATGAGGCCGCAGACAAAACCAAAACAACTTTAAATAACCAACAGGATGAACACACAAGAGAAATTAGCAGCATCCTAAGAATACAAAAACAAGCTGACAGCTGCATTGTAAACGCCAGCTTCTTTTATTAGGACTGTGCCCCCTGCTTTGGGTCTCTGCTGATCAGTCACTTTGCAGGGAGCCTCAATGAACCACTTGAGTCTCTTCCGCTGAGGTTAGTTTAGCTAACTCCCAGAAGCCTCTTCACTCTTTGACTTGTTCATAAGATCAAAACTTTTCTGGAGCAAGAGAAGAGAGTTTTTGAGCTGAGGAAATAAAGTGACAAATTAGTACATTTAGCTGCAACAGATGACTGCACTTCATTAAATTGGCAACATTTTAGATTAAAACCCCTCGTCCCAAGAAGAAGAAAAAAAAAAAAAGTTAATGATTTAAGATATCTATGAAGCTTATGTTCAGCAAAAAGCAAAATAAATAAATTGGGATGGGAAAGAAGAAGGAAAAACAGCAAATAATGTGATTGCCGACATATACCATAGAGCTGTACAATATATAATATACAAGAGCGAACATGCTCATGTTGCTGTGTCTCCATCACGATTCCAGACAGACACTCGGCTAGTAAAGAGAGTACAACAATTATCTATTTATTAATAATAAACAAATAGAGCGTAAGCTTGCAGGGTTTTCTTTTTTAGTAGCCCCATTGTGGGGATGTTTGAAGAATTTCTTGTACTGATTGCTGTAATATGGATTTAATTATATTAATGAAGATAAGCTGTTAGATTTGCATTAAATAAGGATCTCTTTCAGGTATGTGACACAGCATCCACACAGAGCAGGCAGGAGAAATGACAAAATATAGAACCATTTACCTGTTCGAGGGTGGTTATGGAATCTTGAAGGGCACCTCTCACTGCCGCCCCAGACACTTTGCCCTCGGGGATGTGGTCTCGGTTGCCCATGTCGTAGGAGTGTGACCTAGAAAAAGCATGTCAAGTAATTAAGGTATAGAAAATCCAGCAAGAAAATGCAATTTTGCACAAATTGGGGTTATTCACCAATCTCCACTTTTCTACCAACGGTCATTCGAAAACAAATGCAAAAAGCAAAGATGATATTTAAACGTTGAACACCCGCAATTCACACTATAGATTTCAAATGCGCTCAGTTCAAGAGTCCGAGCCCACGAATCGGTCCAGAAGGTGGCAGAATGTGGTAATTGGGATCGGATGTAAAATGTTGCAGGATTTATGCTCTAGAATTAGATGGTGAATTAAACAACAAATTGTAACATTTACACTAAAATAGATGCATTTAAAAATGTACCATTTCAGCATTTTGTTCCCCGAACTTTAAATGACAGAATTTGGTTTTCAACTCACCACTATTCTTTTAGTTGTGATGATCTGCATATTGTTTTTTTTTGCTTTTTGCAAGGGTTTTAGAAATATTTCAAATTTAGCAAACAACTGTGTTTAAAGCATTTGTTTGTTAAAATCCATTTATCAAATTACAGATAATGTGTTTGCTTTTTGTCATTTTGGTTTTTATCCTAAACAACGTTTGCAGGCAATGTCTAGTTATTTCAAATTGTCCTACCTGGCCAATCTCTCTCTCTGGAGGTGCACATGGGCTGCGTGCTCAATCTTCGACAGCTTTAAAAATAGAGTCACGTTCAATGCAACAAGAGCAAACAGACTGGGGAAGAGAGGGAAACGTGGTCAGTTCGTGGATTCTTTAAAAAAAACAAAAAACAAACAAAAAAAAACAGTTGGAGAACATATAGAAATGGAAAATGCAGCAAATCACAATACACTACACTGCGCCACCTACACCACAACACAGCGCCACCTACACCACGCCACCTACAATAGAGTACCACCAACACATGCTATTCCATCAAAACTACATGTGCAGTCTACCCCACATATTGTACCACACCAGTTAAACTACATCCACACCGTCCCAGTGAGTAAAAGCCATACAGCAGGTTACACAACACACATTGTAACACTAACACAAGATAAAACACGCACAAGAATAGACTATTAATGAACCGCTGAGAGAACAAGTAGAACATTCTATCTTTTAAAGATATTCTGTGATAATTCAATCTGATAAAATGTATGGGGTGTTGACATTGTATAGAAAAAGGGATCCCACAAATCCATTATAATTAGTATTATCACCCACCGCCAGTATAGCCATTATAATTCGTATTATCACCCACCGCCAGTATAGCCATTATAATTCGTATTATCACCCACCGCCAGTATAGCCATTATAATTCGTATTATCACCCACCGCCATTATAATTAGTATTATCACCCACCGCCAGTATAGCCATTATAATTTGTATTATCACCCGCCAGTATAGCCATTATAATTCGTATTATCACCCACCGCCATTATAATTAGTATTATCACCCACCGCCAGTATAGCCATTATAATTCGTATTATCACCCACCGCCATTATAATTAGTATTATCACCCACCGCCAGTATAGCCATTATAATTAGTATTATCACCCACCGCCAGTATAGCCATTATAATTAGTATTATCACCCACCGCCATTATAATTAGTATTATCACCCACCGCCAGTATAGCCATTATAATTCGTATTATCACCCACCGCCATTATAATTAGTATTATCACCCACCGCCAGTATAGCCATTATAATTAGTATTATCACCCACTGCCATTATAATTAGTATTATCACCCACTGCCATTATAATTAGTATTATCACCCACCATTATAATTAGTATTATCACCCACCGCCAGTATAGCCATTATAATTAGTATTATCACCCACCGCCATTATAGCCATTATAATTAGTATTATTACCCACCGCCATTATAATTAGTATCACCCACCGCCAGTATAGCCATTATAATTCGTATTATCACCCACCGCCAGTATAGCCATTATAATTCGTATTATCACCCACCGCCATTATAATTAGTATTATCACCCACCGCCAGTATAGCCATTATAATTAGTATTATCACCCACCGCCATTATAATTAGTATTATCACCCACCGCCAGTATAGCCATTATAATTAGTATTATCACACCACCAGCACAGCACCCCGGTGCCAACCGAGTATGAAACAAAAAAAAAATGCTGCAGACAATCCCCGTCCAAGACGGGAAACACAGAGAACGGGGTCTATTCCATAAACTGGCAACTTTCGAGAACCCACAGAAGCAACTGCACGTTTTAGCCCAATAATAAATAAAAGGCATAAATCTTGAAGTGTAAATTTCTCCAGCTTGAATATTTGGGCACAGAATTTGCTCAAAACGCTCTACAATCCCAATCTCCGCAAATAAACTGCACCGAATAGGACATTAAATCAAACCATCTGAACCAGCACCTTTCTGTTCTGTGTACACCCACAGCTAGACAGGCTATCTTGGCAAAGCTTTTAACTTTTGCGATTACCGTATATACTCGTGTATAAGTCGATCTCATGTATAAGTCGAGTGCAGTTTTGTGACCAACAATTGTGAAATATGCTATGCCTCGTGGATAAGTCGAGGGTAAAACTTGGGGCTATGAAATTCTGTGATTTTTATAATTATACACACACACTCATACAAACAAACACTCTGCATTATATATACACACACACTCATACAAACAATCTACATTATATACACACACACACACACACACACACACACACACACACTCATACAAACACACACTCATACATTATATACACAGTGTGTGTATATAATGCAGAGTGTGTATATAATGCAGAGTGTGTATATAATGCAGAGTGTGTGTTTGTGTAGTGTGTGTGAACTAGGTGGGGGGAGGGCATTTTTATTATTTTAATTTTTTTTTATTTTAATATTATTTTTTTATTATTTTAATTTTTTTTTGTCCCCCTCCCTGCTTGTTAACTGGTCAGGGAGGGTGGCTATCTTAATCCCTGGTGGTCCAGTGGCATGGGCTGTGAAGTGGGGGGGCCGGCAGGAAGCATTTACTTACCTTTCCTGCAGCTCCCTTCTCCTCCGTTCCAGTCAGCTCCACTGTAAGTCTCACGGTCTGGTTGCCGCGCGGATCGTTGCCATGGCTCTGACGGCCGCAGCTCTCTAAGTTGCCATAATACAGACAGTGACTCGAGTATAAGTCGAGTGGGGGTTTTTAAGCTCAAAAAATGTGCTGAAAAACTAGACTTATACTCGAGTATATACTGTACATCTTTTTCTTTTGGAAACTAAAATCCAAAGCGTGACAAAAACTGGTGACACAGTCCTCTCATGGTTCTCCTCCTATCTATCCCAATGTTCATTCAATGTCTACTTTCCCAACGACACCTCCTCCCCTCATCCTGTCTCAGTTGATTTTCCTCTATTCGGTCCTCTCACACCTCACCTAGGAGTCAATTCAAAGTGCTAACCCATACATATAAAGCAATGAACAGTTCTAGCCCCTCTTAAATCTCTTCACTAATCCACAGGTATGTCCCTTCTCGGTCTTTCCGCACTGCCCGTGACCTTCTCTTGTCCGCTGCTCGCACCCATATGACCAACTCACGCTTGCAGGACCTCTCGCGGGGGGCTCCCTTCCTATGGAATAGCCTGCCTACTGCCATCAGACTCTCCCATAGTCTTCAATCATTTAAGAAGTGCCTTAAAACCCATCTCTTTAGGAAAGCTTATGGCCTCCCAGAGTAACCTCTACCTTACATACATGTCTCTTGCTCTCTCCTAAAAGGGCAGCACTCTACTCTCTCCTCCAGCTCTGCTTCACTCCCTCCTTATTTGATTGCCATTTCTTGTCCTAATGTATTTTACACCCCACTTCCTATAGACTGTAAGCGCCTTTGAGCAGGGTCCTCTTCAACCTATGGTTCCTGTAAATTTTGTAATTGACCCATTTATGGTTCAATCCCTGGTTTCTTATAATATTCTAAAGCGCTATGGAATATGCTGGTGCATATAATACTTATATTAATAATAATAATAATTCACTCACAAAATATCCTCCCATCCCAGTAACACTGACTTCACCATTAGTCTTACATAACCCTTAACCACATCCACATTGTACTGCGCTAAGGAATAAGTTGGTGACTTATTAATGAAAGATAAGTCATACTCTCCGCTAAATCCAAAGGTCACTACTCCATATTAATTCTCCTTGACCTCTCTGCTGCCTTTGACACCGTTGATCATGCTCTCCTCCTTCAAACTCTTCAATCGCTCGGTCTCTGTGACTCTGTCCTCTCTTGGTTTTCCTCCTATCTCTCCCAACGCTCATTCAGTGTCTCCTTTTCCAAGGATACCTCCTCCCCTCGTCCTGTCTCGGTTGGAGTTCCCCAAGGGTCTGTCCTTGGTCCCCTTTATTTTCTCTTTATACTGCCTCTCTTGGTAAACTTATTGCCTCTTTTGGATTCCACTACCACCTGTATGCTGATGACACTCAGATATACCTCTCCTCCCCGGACCTCTCCCCTGCCGTCCTGCAACGTGTCACTGCTTGCCTTTCTTCCATCTCTGACTGGATGTCCTCACGCTTTCTGAAACTTAACCTCTCTAAAATTGAACTCCTTGTCTTTCCTCCTCCTAATACTGATCCTCCTCTCTCGCTCTCCCTTCAACTCAGTGATATCCACATAAGTCCATCCCTGCAAGCGCGCTGTCTTGGCGTCATAATTGACTCTGGTCTCACCTTTGAGCCTCACATCCAGTTTGTTGCCAAGTCCTGTAGGTTCCAACTCAAAAACATAGCCCGCATTCGCCCCTTTCTTACGCAAGATGCTACCAAGGAGCTTGTCCATGCTCTAGTAATTTCCCGCATGGATTACTGTAACCCTCTCCTGATTGGTCTCCCCAAAAGCCGTATTGCCCCGCTACAGTCTGTCATGAATGCTGCAGCTAGACTGATCTTCCTCTCTAGTCGGTCCTCTCACACCTCACCCCTCTGCCAGTCCTTACATTGGCTCCCTGTATGCTATAGGAGTCAATTCAAAGTGCTAACCCACACATTTAAAGCACTGAACAATTCTAGCCCCACTTATATCTCTTCACTAATCCATAGATATGCCCCTCCTCGTACCCTCCGCTCTGCCCGTGACCACCTCCTGACCGCTGCTCGCACCCGTACGGCCAACTCGCGCTTGCAGGACCTCTCGCGGGTGGCTCCTCTCCTATGGAATAGCTTGCCTACTGCCATCAGACTCTCCCATAGTCTTCAATCATTTAAGAAGGGCCTTAAAACCCATCTCTTCAGGAAAGCTTATGGCCTCCCAGAGTAATCTCTACCTTACATACCCGTCTCCTGCTCTCTCCTATGGGACAGTGCTTTGCTCTCTCCTCCAGCTCTGCTTCACTCCTACTTGATATTTCTTGTCCTAATGTTTCTAATACCTCACCTCCTATAGTCTATAAGCTCGTTTGAGCAGGGTCCTCTTCAACCTATTGTTCCTGTAAGTTTTCTTGTAATTGTCCTATTTATTGTTACATCCCCCCTCTCAAAATATTGTAAAGCGCTACGGAATCTGTTGGCGCTATATAAATGATAATAATAATAATAATACTCACAAGATACTCATAATGATAACAATCCCTTTGTTATTCCAGGCAGGATCTCCTCTTTTCCCTTCAATTAAAAGACATATTATTATACGAAATAAACTAAAAAGGAGTGTTTACAGACATACAGGGCTATTCAAAGTGAATTTCACATTTAAAGCCAGAGTAGCCGAACTGGAAGCATCGCTAACTTAGAGAATGTTTCCAGCTCGGCTACTTTTACCTTGAATTAGAAATTCATTTTGAATATATGTGAAGAACCCTGACAATTATTCTCATCAAGAAACAAAAAAAAAGTATTCATTGCAGGGATTTACTGAAGAGGAGAGAACTGACTGCACTGGATGTCATTATGCCACGCGTGGGATAAACAGTGACATTACATGTGATCATTGTTTGCATGCAGTGTATGGCTCGTTGTGCCCGTGGAATAAACAGTGACATTACATGTGATCATTGTTTGCATGCAGTGTATGGCTCGTTCTACCCGTGGGATAAACAGTGACATTACATGTGATCATTGTTTGCACGCAGTGTGTGGCTCGTTCTACCCGTGGGATAAACAGTGACATTACATGTGATCATTGTTTGCACGCAGTGTGTGGCTCGTTCTACCCGTGGGATAAACAGTGACATTACATGTGATCATTGTTTGCACGCAGAGTTTGGCTCATTCTACCCGTGGAATAAACAGTGACATTACATGTTATTGTTTGCACGCAGTGTATGGCTCATTCTACCCGTGGGATAAACAGTGACATTACATGTGATCATTGTTTGCACGCAGTATGTGGCTCATTCTACCCGTGGGATAAACAGTGACATTACATGTGATCATTGTTTGCACGCAGTGTATGGCTCGTTCTACCCGTGGGATAAACAGTGACATTACATGTGATCATTGTTTGCACGCAATGTATGGCTCGTTCTACCCGTGGAATAAACAGTGACATTACATGTGATCATTGTTTGCATGCAGTGTGTGGCTCATTCTACCCGTGGGATAAGCAGTGACATTAAATGTGATCATTGTTTGCACTGAGTGCACGGCTGAACATTATTAAGACAGTATTAAAGTTTATGGTGAATATTTGGCTTAATTTATCTTCTTCCCCTCTTCTAAACACATCCATGGGAGATACAAACACAGGTGTTGGTATAGATTTGAAGTTTGAATAGCTCTCCATTCATAACTACATTTTAAGGGGTACAATAAAAAGTAATATGTAGAATTTGTTCTCCTAGCAGGTGATGTACAATCTACAAGATTCCCACCTAAGCGCTCGTCCCTCGCATAGAGTCCTAGATCAGAAAGGTCATGCTGAGTGCCATGTTTAATCAGGTGATCCCCTGTGCCGCGACTGTGATGCCTTCTCCTTCTTCGAATTGTGCTGGGTTTGTTGACATCTGACACAGATGTATTTGGGGTTTCTTCTATCTGCAGGTCAGTTTCTAAAAACACAGAGAAATCATATTGTAAGTAAATATTTTCCTAATTGTACATATAATCTGTGGAAAGTAAGCGAAGATTTATTAGCAAGCGTTCTGTGCTATATTCTGGTGTCTTGCTAACCCCCACAAAATGCAAAGCAGACTAAAAAATATGTTCTACACGTTCTAGAAATGTGATTCGCTATTACTTATAAAGGCACCAACACATTCTGCAGCGCTGTACAATAGGCAGACTAACAAGTAGTTAGACAGTTGGGCGTACAGGAGGCTATGATGCTAGGACCCTGTTAGAGCCATGTGGTTTTATTTACACCATTAACAGATTGTGCGATTATTTGTCGGAACAGCATATTCCCCGCACTGCATTTCTAATTAATAGGGAATTAAATAATATCAGATGAGCATACAGAGTTTTTGTTAGGCAGTTTAGAAGATGTATTTAAAAGCAGACAGACAGTCTGGCCACAAAAGGAATCCCTCATTGTTGGATACAGTCCAAGCAGAGAATGTCAACTCTGATTGTACAAGGATAGGTCTATTCTCACGGAGAATGGAATAGAAGGCCAAGCAAAGCATTTCCACACATCTCATGTGCTCCCACAATTCTAAACGGTGACCATGTATTACCCAGTTAATTAGATATTAATTAAGATGTACACATTGTTCATTATCCATGTTTTTGACTTTGCTAAAATTCCTCAATATTTCGGATTTTGGCAAAGGGAGCAACTTAATTTGCTGTCCCCATAACATTAACTGGTGTAGCCCACTTTAATTAAAGGAACACTGCAGACACATACACCATTCAGCTTGCTGAAGTGCTTCATGTGTCTGGAGTCTGTCATATATCTGACGAGTTCGAAAGGTGGCAGCTTCAATGGAAAATCTGCATGTTTATCATTGGGAGCAGAAACCCCTTACTGGCTTTCAGACACTAGCAGGGACGTTTTCTTCCGCTTCCGTTTGTCTACATACCTAATGGAAGTGACGAGCGTGCTAAACTAGAGAATGCCTCCTTTCTCCCGTCTCTGTATTACGGCTCATTGGAAAGCCGCAATTGTGTCTGCGCCCACGGCTCCAGCATAGAGATTCTTCTCAATGAGTCTGGGCTGGGGAAAGATGGGAGGATATACAAAGGCTGCAGAGAACAGGTCTGCAGCTTTTGCAAGCTGTCTATTTCATATTCCTCCAAAGAAAACAAACATTCAGAAAGAAATAGATGCATGTTTTATTTGGGATACATCTATTAAACAGTTTTAAAAAACAAATACATTTTCCTTTAACAGAGACACATTGATAATTAATTTCTTCAGCAAACAATGCAGGTAACTAGTCAGCCTCAGGAACCCACAAGAGTATCTTTCATGCAACACTAAAGCGACTGTACCTAAACCTGAAAGGCACCTGTACTCATGTTAGGCAATCCTTAGCATGGACTGAAGGCACTGCTTACCGTCCAATAATAATAGCAATAACAGTCAATTCATCAACATGGAGCAGAATGACCGATTGGTGGATCTAGAACAGACTAGATATAATCATAATTGAGCAGCTGTGAAGGAAGGACAGACCTAACTGTTTGAAGTATTCATCAAGCCCACTCCAGGAATTTCTCTCGATGAACGTCTTTACTATGCCCCATGGCTGCTTCTTGTACTTCAAATCTGAACAAACCCTGGAAAGGTGGAAGAGTACGTTGATCATGGGGTTATTTTAATAGGTTTGCAAAAAGACTCCATGAATGATATTAGACAAGGAGCTTGCTACGTTCAATCATAGATCATGATTACAAGAGATCAGAAAACACAGGACATGGGAAAGTTGAAGAAACAAACACCTTATTCTATTGATAATATTTGTGCTTCCCTCATTGCTGTACAATAAGTCACCATGGCTCGGTACTCATTTAATTTATCTCAGTAGAAGAGAAGACATTCAAACCTATGTCATCCAGATCTCTAAATTGAACCTGGCGATTAAATGCCACAGGGGATGAAACCTGTAAAATGCTTACCTCCCAAAAGTGGGAGTTAATAAGAATATGGAGATATTTTACATCCTGTTGTTCTGTTATTACCAAACTCCACAGTTCTCATTTTATTATACACAAAAGATGGTGCAGACACTCAGGATGGTGCAACAAGCCAGTAAGTGGATATAATCTAGATTTCACTTGTATTAGAGTTTTTGAGAATTCTTAGCAACTTTTAATATTCATGCAATTAATGGTAAATTATAATACAGACGCATCTCACTATATAAAGTTTTATTTAGGAGCTTACGGGATCCAAAGTTTCTGTGTTTGTAACCAAAGTAGATATTTGTACAGTGTTTTTCTATGCGGATGATGGATGTACAGGTCACATTCGGCGCTCTTACCGTAGTTTACATTTGTGTCTGGACGTTCTGGCAATGATGTATTTGTGCACGGAGTAAAAGTAATCATGATAGGGCACATCATGGGTCACAACCTCTCTCTGTACAATGTATAATTGGCCTTCCTGGCTCTCTTTCAATAACGTCTGAAATATAAAGGAGAAACATTTTTATTTTGTCATTTTCAAGGTCCTCAGGGAGACTCTAGAATGGGTTACTCACTAAAGTGTGAATAGTCAGGAATTCAAAGTGAATTTATAATAAACCAAAATAGCCAAATTCGAAGCCTAGTTGCCCTGGAGACTTTTACCAAATTGGCTGTTTTGTTCTTCTGTCCCGATATACAGCCACCATGGAAGGCCTGTCTCTTGTTCCATTATTGCCCCAATAAACACACCCAGTAAATTCCAGAACAAACCCCAGCAATACACAGGCTTTCTACATACGGATTATCTTACAAACTTGCTCAAGGTGGAATTCAACACACTTTAAGAATGTATTCGTATAATGCATAATATACACTGACAGCCACATTAAAACCACCTGCCTAATATTGTAGTATTGTAGGTCCCCCTTGTGATGCTTCAAGGCATCAACTCCACAGGGTCTCTGAACGTATCCTGTTCAAGCCCTGCAATTTGCAAGGTGGGGCCTTCATGGATCTATTTGTTGTTCCAATCGGATTGAGATATGAGAAAATTTGGAGGCCAATGCAACAAGTTGAACTCTTTGTCATGTTCCTCTAACCATTCCTGAACAATTTTTGCAGTGTGGCAGGGTGCATTATATTACTAAAAGAGGCCATTGCCACCAGGGACCATCATTGCCATGAAGACATGCACATTGCCTGCAACAATCTCTAGGTATGTGTCAACGTAACACCCACATGAATGCCAGGACCCAAGGTTTCCCAGCAGAACATTGCCCAGAGCATAACACTGCCTCTGCCGGCCTGCCTTCATCCCATAGTGCATCCGGCTGCTATCTCTTCCCCAGGTAAACAATGCACACACACTTGGCCAGCCACCTAATCGAAAAGAAATATGGATTCATCAGACCAGGCAACATTCTTCCATTGCTCAATGGACCAGTTCTGATGCTCATGTCTGAAGGTGCTTTTGGCGGTGGAGAGGGGTCAGCACTGGGACTCTGATCACTCTGTGGCAATGGAGCCCCATACATTGCAAACTGTGATGCACTGTGTGGTCTGACACCTTTCTACCATGGGCAGCATTAGGTTTTTCAGCAATTTGAGCTGCAGTAGCTCCTCTGTGTGATTGGACCAGACAGGCTAGACTTTGCTACCAACGTTCATCAATGAGTCTTGGGCACCCACGACCCTGATGCCAATTCTATGGTTCTTATTTTATTAACCACAGAAGGCGTTGTCCTTCCTTGCCCCACTTTTGCTAGGTACCAACCACTGCAAACTGGAAACGCCCCACAAGACCTGCCATTTTGGAGATACTCTGAACCCTTAGTCTAGCCATCACAGTTTGACGTTTGACAAAGTCACTCACATCTTTTCGCTTGCCCATTTTTCCTGCTTCCAACACTCTAAATTCAAGAACTGACTGTTCACTTGTTGCCGAATATATCCCACTCATTGACAGGTGCTATTGTAACTATAGAATCAAGGTTATTCATCTCACCGGTCAGTGGTTTTAATGTTGTGGCTGATCAGTTCATGTACAGCTTCTTATTTAAGGGTCTATCCACAGGAAATATCTGGGCTCCAATTCGCTTCCAGTAACATCCCTTTATCATGGTCGAAATGGAGGAAGGCACTATCATCTCCCATTCATTCCCACGAAGGAAGTACGGTGTATACATGTCTCCACACGAAACTATGGCTCATGGGTGTATTCCAGCAGCTTCCCATTTGGTTCAATAACAATGACACCGTCATGTGAGCGTATCCGTTTATGCACGAATAGTGCCCCCAGCACGAATGAATGGAAGCTCTGTTTTTTCTAGTTTGACACATTTACCAACAGGTAGACTCATTTTTCATGCTTTATTCAGAGTTTCTCTACAGGTTATTCTATTACCCTATTTTATTCAACACAACAAACAAGCACGATTTCCCCCCAAACAGATAAAACATCTGTCACATACCTGTTTCTCTGTAGCTGTGGTGAACTTTCCAATCAGTGGGTTGTTGAGCGTTATGGTGTAAGTCCCTATTCTGTGCTGATTTCCTGTATCATCCAATTGCCACGGACCGTACTCAACGTCTAAAAAGGAAAAGATTGTGTGGTTACAAGTCTGTTACCTATACAATGGAATTCAGGCCTGGGGGCACCTGGTGAAGGCTGCACCCTTTAGCCCAGTGCGTCTGCCACTTCAGTAAACTTGGCGCATCTAACGAACATAGAAGAAAGCCTCCCCAGGTATCTGAAAGGGGAGGATGCGCTTCGGGCACGATCTGGGTGTTAAAAACGGCACTTTAGGGGGCGGGGCCTGACTCTCGAGCTGGCTGGACGTGTTTGCCTGGAGCTCCGGCAACCCTGAGACTAATCGAAGGGAATTGTGTGTTTTGTAAGCGGGTACCAAGGCTAAACCACAAGCGAGACATACCCACAGCCACACGGACCCCGCTAAGCTTGTTATTGCTCCGACTGGCAAACCATGTCCCAGGCCTGGCGACACTCAAAGGTGCGCGGCCTGTTGTCTGGGGGAGGCGGCCGATCCCCCGGCGGAGGAAACGTGCTCAAAGCGACACTGGAGCCCCGTCGCCCCCCTTAGGACCGGTGGGGGATATCCCGGTCCCCGCTGGAATGAAGCACCAACATGCAGCAACATACCTATCTCCAGCGGATCCTGAGTGGCACAGAAACAGCCTGCATGGCGCTACCAAGATGGCCGCCGAGCTGCAACCAAAGCAGAGTAACCTGGGCCCACCGGCTCAAAAGTGGAGGGAAGCTTTTGAAAGCAAGTTTGACGCAATCTGCCAAGCGTTCTGGCATAGACTTGAAGTAAGATCTCTCCCACCAGCATCTCCTGCCAAGAGGGTACCCGAAGATAATATCCAGACTGCCCGATACTCTTCTGGGCTGGGAGCCTGCCAGGAGTTTACTCCATGCCGTCCATACACCAGTGGGGACGCCCGGGATGAGGAGAACCCACGGGCTCACAAGCCAACAACCGAGATTGGGAGGCTTCATGGACAAAAGGCAAGGGCTCTCATACAGTCCCGGAGCCAAAGAGGCGGGAAATCGGGACACAGCAGGAACACCCGAACGAAACGACGAACCTGCCAAAGCAAAGCATGCTCCTCTCATTCCTGCGGCCATCGAATACAAGCCCTGGTTGGGGAAAACGGCGACGACCTGAGGGCAACATCTTCAAGCACCACCGACATTGCCACTCTGGGGGACGAAGCCATACCAGCTGCTGGCGTGGGCTAAGAGACGTTCTGGGACACTTAAGTAACACAGCTTGTTTCATTGTTAAGAACCCAGCTCCTGTTCCACAATTACACATTTCCCCCTTTTTAACCAGTGAACGACACACACCCACTCATGGGCTCAGTTGATGCCAGTTAGGGTTAGTTAGGGTCAGTTGGCTCAGCTGGCTCAGCTCACACATGCTTGAGGACGCTAATGACCATACACCTCAGTTAGGCAAGGCACTAGCTTAGCCTCCAGAATGTTATATTTACCCAAGGTTGACCTATCTATACAAAGTATATGCCATTACTCTAATCCACATTGTTTTACCCCATCTACGTGGTTTCATGCTTCTCTGACAATGTTACTGTCTGCCTACCTAATATGCCTAGATGACACTGTCTCACCAGATAATCTCTCTCCTGATGCCCATAGCAATTTGTAACGTGCCTCATGTGCCTAACCACATAGTTTAAGCTACCGTATTATTCTTATTATTTAAAGGAGCTCTACGTTAACATTTTGTGTTAATCACCATTATTTTTTGCCTAGCTGGACTTTTCAGATGTAACTAAATGGTTAAAGCTTGTTTAAACATTAATATAAAAAATGTGCATGTTCCTCAAATGTCACTTCCAGTTGTAAACATATAGTATTGAAGCCTGTCTATGATGCCGTGACTTATAGAACGATTGTATGTAATTTTCATAAATGCACAACCAAAATAAAGAATAAAAAAAAAAAAAAACGGCACTTTAATGAACTGTCAAATCAAATATGGGAAAGACTCCAGAAAAATTGGAGTGCTTTTATGTATTTAGAGTCTTTCTTCAAATTGTAAAACCAAAATAACTGAACTAGCGGCATACTTTGCTTTTCTTTCAGCCAGATGCTCTATGTTTGCACTGAGCTGGTCTCTATTTGGGGAGCTTAGTGAACGAGCAGAAAACTAAAAACACACAGTTTTAAAGTGAATAAATACGTGAAGCTGAACACCTGCGTGGACTCCCCATTACCCACACACAAAACACAAAGAAATATACATACACCAGGAGGAGCTTTTAAGAAAATGGTAGACAGCAGTGAATAAAATATAAATAAGGGGACAATAGTGCAATATTGCCGATCCACACAAGTTGAAAAGTAAGAGCCAGTTTATTTGCGCAGTATGATATTTTTGGGAGTCCTGGTCCCTCTTCTGTATAAGCTCCCGCAGTTATAGGGACAGAAATCGCAAAGTGTGTAGCCTGTAAAATGGCACAAATTTACACTCATACGGTCCCAATGGTAGGCTTGCTCATCTCAATGAGTGAAGAGGTCCACAGAGATTCCACGTAAAAGTAGTAAATGCGTTAACTAAAAATACTCTAATCAAACAGTTCATAGAATGTTTAAATGAATACTGCATATCGAGACACTGTTTCTATTGCTGTACAAACCTTACATTAATTTTTTTTTTTTTTATATTTCTCTTCCTATGAATTGAACCAAAAATAAAGAATTAAAAAAATAATAAAAAATACTCTAATCCAAAGATAAAAACAAAATTAAAAGTTAATACCATATAACGTTATGAGGAACTTTTACAGGAAGTAATACAGAAGAGGGGCCAGGACTCCCCATATATATCGTACTTCACAAGTATTTAAGGGTATCGTACTTGAGACAAGTATTTTAACTGGCTCTTATTTTCTACTTTTTAACTTGTATGGATCAACAATATAGCCCCATTTTGCCTTATTTATATTTTATACACCGCTGCCTACCATTTTCTTAGAATCTCTCTATAATTGAAGAGAACCCAGGCTTACCCAACACCTTCCTCGAATCCAAGAACGTTTGCATGAAGCGGGACTCTGTGAAGTGCAGCTGAAACATGCGTTCAGCGCTGATGTGGAAGGTACGATTGATGTACAGCCGGCCTTCTATCTGATTTTCAAAACCTTTGTCATAACCTGTAAAAACAAAAATAAACCTTCCATATGGCGAGTGCGCACTCCCACCTGCCAGCAACCTCCCACATGGCGAGTGTGCACTCCTGCCTGCCAGCAACCTCCCACATGGCGAGTGTGCACTCCCGCCTGCCAGCAACCTCCCACATGGCGAGTGTGCACTCCCGCCTGCCAGCAACCTCCCACATGGCGAGTGTGCACTCCCGCCTGCCAGCAACCTCCCACATGGCGAGTGTGCACTCCCAACTGCCAGCCAGAACCTCAGATACGGTGAGTGTTTAATCCTACCTGTTATATGTTGAGTGCGAACTCCTGTCTGCCAATTATCTCAATACACAGGTGCTGGCCCATTTGGCTGTGTTCTGAATGTTGGTCTAGTTGCTAAATAAATAACATTCTATGTCTGTGTAAGCCATCCTCGGCAAGCCATCCTACATACCTTCATCAGGGGTATCAGTGCAGCTACTTCCATCCTCATGCTGATTCTCATTCCCATTCAAATCGAGTGCGAGTGCCGGGGTCCCAATGCTCACCCGGAGGTTACCCTTCCTTTCAGAGTCCAGGAGAGGACTCCTACTCACAGATTTCTCTCCTTCTTCAATCACAACCTGAGTCGATAACTAGGCAAGAAAGAGTTAGTGTAGGATTCTCCCTACATGAAAGAACCGAACGAGTTCATGAAGAGTACAGGTTTTGTAAGAAGCTTGCAATCTATGGAAAATACTCATAACCATAACCCTCCACCACCTCTGTTCCTGTACGTCCAGTTGTCTGGTTACAGTTACATGTATTAGTCCACCCATTGTACAGCGCTACGGAATCTGATGGCGCTATGTAAATATAATAATAAATAATAATAATATGCTCCATTTATAGAAGAAACCAAAAGTGACATTAGCTAGTGACTCTGTCGATGGGGTCCCTGCCTGTCTAACCATTATAGAACATTCAAATAGAATCGGTGTGTCATTTCAAGCATGTTTGCAGTTCTCCAACTGTAAGTACTTCTAGAATGGCATAGGGTGTTTAAATGTTTTTAGCACCCCTGGTGGTTATTAAATCATAGTATGTTTAACACACAAAGACTTGCCAAAAAAATAAATAATAAAAATGTAATACACCCTCCACCCTAAAAAAAAATAATCCATGTAATAAAACAGATACTCTAGGGGAGGGATAACCAAAACATACATTGCCAGCCGTAGTAAAATCCCCACGGTCAGCCCTCTATACCAGCAATAAATCATGGTAGTTGAAAAAATTGCCAGAGAAACAGCGTTCATAAGACATGAACAAAACGTGCAGGGAATCTGTCTCTGTACGTTTATTTGTATCTCTGTCTTGTTCTCTGTATATTCCTGCTCTGAGAACAGGACACAGTTTGTCATTAAAGACATTAAATGAGCCTGGGTGATCCAAACCAAAAGGAATTCTTACCATTTGTAGGAAGTTCATACTAGGACCATCAGCCTCCGTTTGAGAAATACTATCTCTAGTTAGGGAATTGCCCCTTGATGTCTTCTCCGTCCTCTCACCCACATCTTCACACGTTACCTTGGCCGCTGCCCTAGAACATAGAACACACAATCCACTCAGTGGCAGAGAACATATAAAATAAGTACCAGGCCGCCCAGATCTTAATAGCTTGTCCCACGGGATAACGTCAACTTGGAATGGTCTATCACGCGTGATGGTTAAATATATCTGCAATAAGCAGGCAATATCTATTATTAAATAAAAATAAAATGATGCCTGTAAAGGGATATATCATACTTGCATGATAGGCATACCTAAACTCACACACAATACAGGTGACAATCTGGCCACCTTAAAGGACCTATAATACAGCTTTCTGCCTTTTTATTTAGGATATACAAGTTAAAATAAATACCATTATTTTCATACCCCCCAAGGGTGGTATTTTGTATATTTCTCATTCTCGGGTCCTCTACCAGAGGCCTGGGAGTCTGAGGGTTCTTCGCAGTATCTTAGCTTTCCTAGAACTGCACTCTTCTGCACAGCGATCTCAGATCCCACCTGGAATCTGCTGAAATCACAGCCCCGAGTGCTCCTATCACAACTGGGACTACTACTGCCTTCACTTTCCACATCCTTTTCCATTAGTAACCTTGTAAGAGGAAAATTCTACCAGGCAGTCGGGAAACTGGATCTCCAATCCTGTGCCAGTGGAAGTGGTGAGTCGAAGCAGAGATGTCCACGTACCTGAGCGGCCCATTGTCATCTGAAGGCAAGGATACGGTTTCCATGTCTTCATTATTCAGACCCAACTCCGCGCCATAACTCTGCTGAACCAGCTGCCAGAATTCTTTCTTGGTCAGACTCTGGAGAAAGAACAGTTTGGTATGAATCAAGAACAGCCACCGTGTATCCCACCAAACATGAGCACCTTGCAACCATTTCTTACTGGAAACACCAAGACTTTCCCAGCATCACCCGACATACTGCATTAAATCCTGGCCAAGCCTGCAAAGCTAGTGGTGGGGGTATATATATATATATATATATATATATATATATATATATATATATATATATATAGCCTGCCAATGCAAGCTCTATATTAATCCCTACGAGGGACAGCAGAATAACCTGCCCAGGGAGGGGGCAGTACTATTTACTTAAACATCAGCTCTGATTCCTGTTCTTCCTGCTCTAAGAGGAGGAGATACTACAATGCTGCCATGGTTTGATGGAGACAGAGAGAGCATAAAATACCATACAGAGCCACTCAAACACAGGAAGTAATTATAGAGCACTAACGGTAACACTTTACCACTGAGTGTTTGAGAGTTAAAGATCTGCTCCTCACATACAATAAATAGTAGCACGACTACAGGCTTGTGCATTCTTGGCTCTATGTTAATTTTTTTTTTTAATTTGCCTGTTAATTAATTAGTGATTGCTAACAGGAAATAAAGAGATAACTGTAGAGGAACGATTCCCCCAATGGGATGTGCAGTAATCATTAATATAAAGTCAGACATTTTACAATCCAATTGGACACTGGCAACACTTTCTTCTATTTTTTTAAATTGGTTAAAATGTTCGGTCCTTGGGTTTCTAACCTGTGAATGAATCAGAACATGGAAGTATCTCCAATGAAAAAAAAAAACGTTCATGTGGTCAAATGATGACTTCACCCAATTTACTAGAACATTATGCGATGACAATATTTACCAAATTACTACATCTTTTGGTGCATATGCTCTTTTTTGGGGCTAATGTAATACATTACGGCCAAGACCGCACCTCTTGTAGAGTCGGAATAGCAGTCACTAGAGACTGCTCCTCCAGTGATCTTCTCAAACTGTGAATTCACATAAACTAAAACCAGAATTGATGTAAGAATGTTCTATGTCCATTTTCATTCTCATTTTGGTGTTTGTTGGCGTAAAGCTTTCATAATTTGCTGATTAGTGAATAAAGCACACAGTAACATCATGTCATTCAGTGCACAGAGAGACAGTCTGTGAATACGTTGTCTTTTTCCTTTGGAATGGACGTGTTTAACCCTTTGCAGCTGACAATATGAAAAGTCGTGTTGTGTTTCACTTAATTGCACCCAGTAGGATTAGATAGATTGTTTGGGATGGAATGCTTGTGTGAACAATGTGAAACTAATTGGTAATTATCACATTACCACCTGTACACAACAACTCAGGGGCATATCATTGTAATAAGCCAGCGATACAGACATCGGCCGGAGATCACAAAGATGTCACCAAAAAGAGGGAGATTCTATTAAAATTTATTAGACAAGAAAATGAACACAAAAATGAGTAGTAGCCGCCATGGAACCCAAGTGAATTTCCACTGGAATAGTTTTGTCTCTATAGCGATTGCACCACTATTGATCCCACCTTGCAGGATCATTTTAGTTCAGCAATATATATTCTTAAATGATCTCCCTCGGACGTTTTCTAAATGAAACCAACTCACAGTTTTTTTTCAGTAATATTCAAGTCTGGGAACGGCAAAAGCCATAAAAAAACCTAACTCCTTTCTTTTGTAACTCAAAGTTGATTTTTAGGTGTGTTCTCCATTAACGTGTTGGCTGTATTATATATCCGCGTTTACACTAGCAGCAATGACGCCAATGTCTAACACTTCTTGCAAAGCAGGTTGGCGACAGACAGCCGATGGCAGCATGCCCCTCATGTGACGCCCATGTAATGTCCCTCAGCCAATCGGCAGAGGAGAATCGGGCTGGGGGAGAACTTGGCCTTGGCTCTGGAAAGGAAGGAGTGTTTTAGGGATTTTATTTTTTTTAAATAGTTTTGTAGGGGTGTGGGCCCAGTAAAATGTTTTCTTAAAACACTGATTTTTTTGGGTTAGAGAAACCCTTTAACTCCCAATATGGAACGAATATATCTAATGTGAACGTGGAGTGTGATCTGCGTAGAGTTACTGGACTGACGATGCCAGGGCGAACCAGGTAAGTGTCAAACTATTCAAATCGTAAAATAATTGCCCAAAATATAAAAACAAACAAAAGACACCCATCCCTAGGGATACAAAACAAAGAATGTATACCTGACACCTTTAACAGGAGTAGTAATTTAATTAGGTTAATAAAATGGAATCTCTTTATTTGGCACACACAAAAAAAATTGGAGTACCTATTTATAGAAATAATTAAATGGACATCTCAAATAAACAAGCTGTAATAAATTAAATGTAACGTATAACTAATTACTAATTAACAGTCATTGTGAGAACCTGTTTGGCTGGTCCACGAGTGATAAATCAGGACAGCAGTTTACTAGAGCTTCCCGTTTAGATTGCAAAATTACTAACACTCTTTATTTACAGAAAGAAAAAGAACATTGTGGGTTGGAGACATCCAATAATAACGCCTGGCAAAGCATTGTGGGAGTCGCATTTCAGCCACATAACAGGATAACTGTGTGAATTAGCGCAGTACAGCCATATCCCGTCCTAGATTTTAGTAAGGCTTTTGACAATGTTGCACATAGAAGGCTTATCAATAAACTGCAATCTTTAAGTTTGGATTCCAATATTGTTGAATGGGTAAGGCAGTGTCTGAGTGACAGGCAACAGAGTATATTTGAAGCTTGGGCTTGTCACCAGTTGGGTACCTCAGGGATTTGTACTTGGACCCATTCTCTTTAATATTTTTATTAGTGATATTGCAGAAGGTCTTGATGGTAAGGTATGTCTTTTTGCTGATAATACTAAGATATGTAACAGGGTTGATGTTCCAGGAAGGATAAGCCAAATGGCAAATGATTTAGGTAAACTAGAAAAATGGTCAGAGTTGTGGCAACTGACATTTAATGTGGAAAAGTGCAAGATAATGCATCTTGGACGTAAAAACCCAAGGGCAGATGTGACGAGACCAATCTCGCCACATTGCATTGGAGAAGCCTGGTTGCTCGCCTGCTGCCTTTGGACTATGGCCCCCTTTTAAAAGACTTTATTTTGCCTGCAGAAAAGCTGTATTCGTGCTTTTCTGCCTGGGGTTCGGTAGATTCAATCTACCGAACAACCGTACGAATGACTGGACCACCTGGGAGCTGGAGTGTGCCGGCAATTAACCTCCCTGAAGCTGCGGTTAACCACAGCTTAATTGATGAATGCTGGGTGGCCGCCATTCGTATCCCGAACACGAGGTCGCGGCCATTTTAAACATACGAATGCACAGCGGTGTTAGCCCCTATTTTCATGGAACTACCACTTCAGTAGTAGAAAGTAATGAAACCATATTTAAAGAGATAGGATTGATGAACATCTAAAACACATGGATTTCAAGATCAGAGACAATGTGGGTTTACTTCAGGAGATCATGCCAAACTAATCGTATTGATTTTTTTGATTGGGTAACTAAAATTATAGATCAGGGTGGTGCAGTAGACATTGCTTACCTAGATTTCAGTAAGGCTTTTGACACTGTTGCACATAGAAGGCTTATCAATAAACTGCAATCTTTAAGTTTGGATTCAATATTGTTGAATGGGTAAGGCAGTGGCTGAGTGACAGGCAACAGAGGGTTGTAGTTAATGGAATATATTTGAAGCTTGGACTTGTCACCAGTGGGGTACCTCGGGGATCTGTACTTGGACCCATTCTCTTTAATATTTTTATTAGGGATATTGCAGAAGGTCTTGATGGTAAGGTATGTCTTTTTGCTGATGATACTAAGATATGTAACAGGGTTGATGTTCCAGGAGGGATAAGCCAAATGGCAAATGATTTAGGTAAACTAGAAAAATGGTCAAATTGTGGCAACTGACATTTAATGTGGATAAGTGCAAGATAATGCATCTTGGGCGTAAAACAAGGCAGAGTACAGAATATTTGATAGAGTCCTAACCTCAACATCTGAGGAAAGGGATTTAGGGGTGATTATTTCTGATGACTTAAAGGTAGGCAGACAATGTAATAGAGCAGCAGGAAATGCTAGCAGAATGCTTGGTTGTATAGGGAGAGGTATTAGCAGTAGAAAGAGGGAAGTGCTCATACCATTATACAGAACACTGGTGAGACCTCACTTGGAGTATTGTACACAGTATTGGAGACCGTATCTTCAGAAGGATATTGATACCTTAGAGAGGGTTCAGAGAAGGGCTACTAAACTGGTTCATGGATTGCGTGATAAAACTTACCAGGAAAGGTTAAAGGATCTTAACATGTATAGCTTGGAGGAAAGACGAGACAGGGGATATGATAGAAACATTTAAATACATAAAGGGAATCAACACAGTAAAGGAGGAGACTATATTTAAAAGAAGAAAAACTACCACAACAAAAGGACATAGTCTTAAATTAGAGGGACAAAGGTTTAAAAATAATATCAGGAAGTATTACTTTACTGAGAGGGTAGTGGATGCATGGAATAGCCTTCCAACTGAAGTGGTAGAGGTTAACACAGTAAAGGAGTTTAAGCATGCGTGGGATAGGCATAAGGCTATCCTAACCATAAGATAAGGCTAGGGACTAATGAAAGTTTTTAGAAAATTGGGCAGACTAGATGGGCCGAATGGTTCTTATCTGCCGTCACATTCTATGTTTCTAATCGGACACAGTTTTGTGCGAACACCGCTGAAGCCGCCGATCTCCCTTCTTGTTCGGTGGAAGTGCACGAACGGCCCGGTGTTCGGTATTTTTGTTCGAATGTATTATACCCCAGATAGGAATCCCATGGAGCCCATTCATATGAAACTGACTGTGTAAAGACTTTAGCTCCATGGCGATTAAACTGTATTCATGCGGTCTGAGTGCCATTCACCTAATAATGTGCACTCAGACCTGAGCTATCTGGGGATATGTTACATGTCTGTGTTTTATGTAGTAAATGTTACTTTATGTATTTTAAAGTATAATACTGTTTTTGTGTCCCCACATGTGTAATGGAGTTTTGCCTTTGTCTTGGGAGATAATTGAGTTACTTCCCAATTATCTCCCAAGGCAGAGGGGAGG